TCTGAAGAGATATCTACACATTCCTGTTCATAGAAATATTATTCATAATAGCTAAGAGGTGGAAACAACCTAAATATCCTTTGATGGATGAATAAACAAAATGTGGTGTGTGTGTGTGTGTGTGTGTGTGTGTGTGCGCGTGTGTGTGTGTCTGTGTGTACAGATACATATACACACACACATATATATGCACAATGAAATATTGTTCGGCCTTAAAAAGAAAGGAAATTCTAACACATGCTACAACATGAATGAAACTTGAGGTTATTATGCAAATGGAAGCAAGTCTCAAAAAGAAAAATACTGTGTGATTCCATGTACATGAGGCTTCTAAAGTAATCAGATTCATACAGACAGAAAGTAGGTGTTTGCGCAGGGCTGAAAATGCTAAGTTATTGTTTAATGGATATATAGTCTTAGTTTTACGAGATGAAAATGTTGTGGAGATCTGCTGTATAACAGTGAATATTCTTAACCCTACTGAACAATACACTAAAAAATGGTTAAGATGGTAAATTTTACATTATGCACATTTTACCAGAATTAAAACAACAATAAACAAAAAAGATGCCAAACAGCAGGCCTAGCCTAGGGGAAGATGGAGAGAATACATTTGTGGTTACCAGTGAGCAAAGTTGTATGTTTTCAATCATTTAAATGCTGGAATGGAGCAAGTTAACAGCTAGATCTATGAGGATGAATGGGCCAGGGGAAGGTGTTGACTGGACAAATAAAAGAAAACATCTTGAGGGTGAGGAAATTGGTTTGTGGGTTGGGAGTTTGGCTAAAGAAAGCAAGTGGTGGGATCCAGAATGAGTGACTATTAAATCATGACAATGTCTGTTATTTAAGAGTTCATTGATTCCAGAAAAAACAACAACAACAACATATAAGGCAAGTTTTTTTTACAGGTAAAATTTATTTAAATGGTTAATGTACACATTACTAAATGACATTTTACAATCAACTATAGCTTATAACAAAACTGCTAAGGAAACATCCAAAGCTTGAATTGTATACCTAATCTGTAGAATTAAAACGACTACCATAATTTAAAAAAAAACTTGTGCAATTTGAAATCACTGAGTGATTTATGTAAAGGCAAAATATATACAGTGTTGTGAGTAAAACTCAAACCAAGTGAGGATAAAAATGAAATGTTGAACAACACCAGAGAAGGAAGCTACTGTTAAAATAAAACTAGACTTCCGCATAGAGATATGCCCATGATAACCACAGGAAATGCTTCATACTTTGTTTTAATAATTAAAGCCACATTATAACCCAAAGCATATCATAACAGTGAGTATGCTGTTTACAAAAAGATGGATCTAGATATCAAGATAGCTCTTTTTAGTGCCTTCCTTAAAAAGGTAACACTTTAACAGCCATGTCATTGTTTATAGCCACAGCCTGGCTTCAGGCACATCACAAGTGAGGCTTCCAAAGTCCTTGAAGAGCATGTGACAGTGAAACTGGGCCCCCGTCTTTACCATAAAGATGTTCTTCTTGAGGATAAGTGCATGTAGGAAGTGACAGCTTATGAAATCGTTTCATTGATCTTGAGACTACACAAAAAGACTTGCTGATATTAGAGCAGTTTCTTTCTAATCAATATCCCATTGGATTCCAAGCAACAAGGTACACTGAAATAGATCATGTCTGTTTAGAAGGCAGCATGAACAGCAGCAGTGCCACTCAAAGCTTAAATCATAAGAGTGTTAATATTCTCCCTGGATACCAGTTAGAACTGTTATAACCAATAAAAATTAAACCTATTGGAAAGTACTGATATCATTCTATTAAGAGGTCCTTCTTCAGATAACATGATCTGGAAAGAATACATTTTATATTGATAAATATGGATAAAACTAAATTAGAGAGAATTGGAAACAATCTTCTGTCTCCTTCATATATTCATTCAACAAATATTTAGTAATAGTTTTACTCTGGATGCCTGCCAGGTTAGATTTAGAGGTCACTGGCATGTCCCCCCTGTTTTCCTTTTCCCTTTTTCACAACTCACCAGCAGTGAGTGACCTTTTCTTTATCAACTGCCATAACAGCTTTTCTGTACCTTGTTTATGGCATTTATTCTTATATCCTATAATGATATGTATAGATCCTATTTGGCTTACTAAAATCATTTCCAAGAGGGCAGAGGTAGTGTCTTTATTTTACATTTTATAATGTAGGAGAAGAGAAAGCAGCATGAAGTCAGACTTGAGCTTGCATCCCGCCTTTGCCAATGGCTGGTCCCGAGACCTTACCCAAGGGAAACTTTCAGTCTTAGTTTTCTTATCTTGACTATTATTTTCTCATCTTGGTATTACCTTAGGAGAATGCTCACCTTTCAAAGTGGCAGTGAGAGCTAAATGTGGTAAGGCACAAAAGACCTTCAGCATAATGCTGGGCAGAGCAAACCTTCACATTTTACCAGGATTTCTTCTGGTAACATCAGGTGTACCCCTCATATTGCCTATCCACCTTTCTGTATTCCCTATCATTCAGTCTTCAACTCTTAGTTTACTATTTAATGCCTTCTCCTTTTCCTTTAACTAACACCTCATTTCCTGGCATCTCAGCTGAACAATTTGCATTCTATTCACTAGGAAAACAGAATCCAGAATTGTTGGAAGAGAATTTGCTCACCTGCCTTCATCTGCACTTATAGAGTCTGCCTTCCGTCCTGTTACTAAGCCCACACACCAAAAGTCAACTCCTCTGCTTAAGTAATAGATCCTGTTCCTTCTAGCTTACCCAGACCTTGCTCCAGCAATCCTTCCCTCTCTTTCCTGCTGTCACTTTCCCCTTTTCTACCAGATCATTCTCAACAGCATGTAGGAATAAAGCATAATTTCTATTTCTCCATTTTTAAAACTATTTCTGTTGGCCTAATTTTTTTTTAAGATTTGGGAAACATGGTTTATTTAGAAAGCATATGAGAGAGAGAGAGAGAGAGAGAGAGAGAGAGAGAGAGAGAGAGAGAGAGAGAGAGAGAGGATTCACCTCTCCAAAATTGGAGAGGGGACCAGAGTTTAGAGAAAGCAATGACCAGCCTTACTTTTTTAGTCTTGCTATCACTCTACTTATCTGTTCTCCTTCATAGGAAAAACTCCTTGAAAGCGTCATCTGTAGTTGATATCTGCAATTTCTCTGGTTTCATTCTCTTTTAAAGTCACTTTAGTCAGGCATCTGCCTCTTGCCTTTCCTCCAGAAAGATTCTTGTCAAATTCACCAATAAATCTTGTGATGATAAATCCAATGGTCAGTTTTCACAACTCATCTTTCTTGACCTATCAGTAGCACTTGACAGAGTTGATCACTTCCTTTCCCTAAAATTCTTCTTCCTGACTTTGGGGTTTCTCTCTGATATCAGAGGTTGCTTCTTCACTCCTTTGTTGGTCTCTTCTCATTCCATGACTCCTAATGTTGGAGGAGCCAGAGCTCCCTGCTGGGCTTTTTCTCTTCCCTAACCTCTTTCATCCCCTCAGTGACCCTTTTTTTTTTTTGAGTTGGAGTCTCACTCTGTCACCCAGACCACAGCCTCGACCTGCTGGGCTCTGGCTATCCTTCCGTCTCAGCCTTCCAAGTAGCCGGAATTACAGGCATGCACTACCATGCCCGGCTGATTTTTTGATTTATTGTAGAGATGAGGTCTCACTGCCCAGGCGGGTCTCGAACCCGTGGGCTCAGGCAATCCACTCACCTCAGCCTCCCAAAGGCGTGGGATTACAGGCTGAGCCACCGAGCCCAGCCCCCCTCAGAGATCTTATTCAGTCTCATTGTTATTCACATCCATACACTGACAAAGCCCAAATCTGCATCTCCAGCCAGGATCTATTGCCTGAAATACAGACTTGTACATCATCTGCCTTCTTGCCACTTTTTTTTTAAGTGAGAAATCAGGATTTATTGAGAGAACAGAAAAGCTCCCACAGTGGGAGGGGACCCAAAGGGGTTGCCCTTTTCTTGCCACTTCTATTAGATATTGCACAGTTAATATCTCCAAAGTGAAACTACTGATTTTTCTCCCCAATCCTGCTATTCATGTTCTCAGTCATCTTAATTAATGGTAATTCTACCCTTCCAGTTGCTTAGGCCAAAAAGCCCTGGCATCATCATTGACACCTTTCTTTCTCTCATATTGTAATGCAAACTGTCAGCAAATCCTATTGTCACTATCTACAAATGCATGAAGAATCTGACCTCTTCTCACCAGTCTAGTGGTACCCATGAATAATTTCTTGCCTGAACTATTGCAGTAACCCCCTCACTGATTCCCCGTCTTCTACCCTTGGCTTCTTACCATCTGTTCTTAACACAGCAGTTAAGGCGATTGTGTCGCTTCTCTGATTAAAACCCTCCAACGGTTCCCATCTCAGAATAAAAATCAAGGTCATTACAACGACCAAGTACACTCTGTATGATTAACCTCTCCCCACCTCACTCCCATTTCTCTCATCTTATCTCTACCAGAGACTTCCCCTTGGTCAGTCTAATCTAAGCCACATGGTCTTTGCTGTGCCCTCAACACAGCAGGAACATACTGCCTCATGACCTAACTGTTTTTCCTTCCTGGAATGTTCCTCCTCCATATGGCCACATGGCTAGCTCCTTACTTCCCTTGAGTCTTTGATTAAATGCCATTTTCTTACTGAGGACTTCCCTTGAAACCACCCTGTTCTCTCTATCCCCCTTGCCTATTTTATTTCACTTTATAATGTTTATCATCTTATTTATTTTATTCTTAGTTGTTTTGCTATTTAGTTTAATATTTGTTGAATGGATGAATGAATTTTTTAAAAACCAAGACATTAGTTGGCAATATGAGGTCGGTAAGTTAACAGTTGCTATACATGATTATTACAGACTTGTGCGATAGTCAGAACCACATATATTAAGTACTTTGCTTATTAATAAATATAACTAGAAAGAAATTTTGACATATAAATTAATAAGAATATTTCCATTTCATTAGATACCATTTTGTCTTCTGACTAGCTTGCTGGGTTGTATGGATCAATAGAATATACTTCTCGAGTTTCTAAGTGAAGAGATCCTTCTTTAGGTCTTGTATTTGTATAATAATTGCTAAAGAGAAGAAGGAAGAAAAAAGTAAAATCTTAACTCGTTGACTGTGATTACTATAAGGATGTAACAGTTGTTTGCTTTCTATAATTCCCAACACATAGTAAGTACTTTTCATGGATGATTTCATTTTATTGTCTTAAGTATCCTATAAAGTATAACCCTATAACTCCATTTTTTTTTTTGAGTTGGAGTCTCACTCTGGCGCCCAGACTGGAGTGCAGAGGCCACTCCCGGCCACCGCAGCCTCGACCTGCTGGGCTCCGGCGATCCTTCTGCCTCAGTCTTCCGAGTAGTTGGAATTACAGGTGCGCGCTACCACGCCCAGCTGATTTTTTGATTTATTGTAGAGATGAGGTCTCGCTGCTCAGGCGGGTCTCGAACCCACGGGCTCAGGCAATCCACTCACCTCAGCCTCTCAAAGGCGCAGGATTACAGGCTGAGCCACCGAGCCCGGCAACTCCATTTTCTTGAAAGACATATACAAATAAATGACTTTCTAGGCTTGTAAGTGTCCACATCAGAAGCCAACACTAGGCAAATTTACCCCAGATCCAAGACTTCTTTTTCTTTTGGAGTCAGGGTCCCACTCTGTCACCCAGACTGAAGTACAGTGGCATGATCATAGCTTACTGCAGCCTCGACCTCCTGGGTTCAGGTGATCTTTCCATCTCAGCCTTTTGAGTAGCTGGGATTACAGGAATGCACCACCAAAACCTGGCTTATTTTTTCATTATTTTTGTAGGGACAAGGTCTTGCTATGTTACCTAGGCTGGTCTCAAACTCCTGGGCTCAAAGGCTTGTCCAGTCTCAGCCTCCCAAAGTGCTGGAATTACAGGGGTGAGCCAGCATGCTTGGCCAGATACAGGACTCTTAATGGCTAACAGCTACAACTCCAAAATTGAACTAAAAATGAAAAGGAAGCTTTTATTTTAGAATAGGATAATAAGTTTACCCTTTGGGACACAATCTTCTAGTTCACCCAAAAAGGAAATTTTTATATTTGGTGTTTAACTCAAAACCCTTATATCCCCTCCCACTGTGGGAGCTTTTCTGTCCTCATAAGAAATCCTGCTTTCTCAAAAAAACAAACAAAAAAAACACAAAACCCCCCTTACATAGTCATACAGCATTCAAAGCTTTGAACAATTTTCAAGAGAATGATTTTACTTTCATTCTTGGAAAGTACATATATTTTACTATACATTTAAAACTGTTTATCAGAATTATTGAAATACAATAAAATGTGATTATACTATTCCGTAGAGCTCTGATATAAAGTGTTACTTTTTTCCCCAAAATTACTGGGGAAGAAAGATTACTGCTAAAAGTTGTTTACAGCATGTCATTCACTACCATATTCAAGAGGTCAGCATATTGGAGGTACATTAAGAATATCATAAAATGGTAATTTTTAGGTCCATGTGAGCCTCAGGCTTTGTTGACTTAGATGACTAGAAAAGAAGAAGCACAGTCCCTTTCACATATCTGGATGGCTTTTAAAAATATTTAATTTTATCCCTAGACACTCATTTTTAAATGGTTATTCATCACATTGACAAAAGGTGTTTAAGGCAGCTCAAATGTTTATATCAATTAACAGAAAATGAATTGAAATGGGTTGTTTTTGTTTTAGAAAATAAAAATAAGTAATCGACATTTAGGAAGTAGGTTGAGCAGATCTGTTGGTTCATATAAGGTACTTATAGTGTATGATATAGTCATGTTAATAAGCAAAACTAGACTAGAACATTATGAATTATTTGTTTGTATGCCTTCCCCAAATTTCAAGTTTTCCTACACATGCAATACTCTGATAGCATACTTAGTAGCATGAAGGAAAGAGATAGAGACCACATTTTCTATTTATTTAAGTTTCTAATTACTCTTGGCTAAAATTATCTTCTCACTTCCTGTGAGGAAGGCATGCAAATGACATCCCTATTTAAAAAATTTTTTTGAGACCCTTTTCTCCCTTGAATTTCATGAAATGACTCTCTCCTACTTTTCCCTCTGTCATTGGCTGTTCCTTCCCCTCCTACCTTTCAAGTATGACTGTCCCTCTGAGGTCTGTTTTCATTCTGATTCTTATCCCTTCTGTTCTTTTTGGTCCCACACCTTCCATTGTGATGTCAATGTTACTCGCCTGAGTCCAAGCTTTCCTCCCAAGTCCTATAACATGAGTACCTCAAAGTAACAACTCAGAACTGAACTCAGCAGCTTTCCCCCACTCAGCTGACCCTCTCCTCTTTGGGGAATCACTGGGTCCACCTAGTCCCCGTCACGTGAGCCATTCTGTGTGCCTCCTTCTCCCTACATCCAGCAAGTCACAAAGTCCTGGAAAGCCTATCCTTTTAACAGCAAAAATTCCTCTTATGTCTGTTCTATCCTCCTGATCCCTGCCATTACTGCTTTGGTTGAGAGCCTAATCTCCCCATTGTTTTGAAAATGCAAATCTGAACATGCTATTGCCTTGCTTAATATCCTACAGGATAAACTCCAGCTTCTTGTCATGGCTTGCAAGGCCTTTAATGATCTAGCTCTGGGTGAACTTTATAGATGTCCCCAATGTATGTTAAATGGAACATTAGTCCCATGAGATGTTAAAAGCATCATGTGAAAAAAAGAGTTCTACAGCCCAATTCGTTTGAAAAACTCTGGTTAAAAACAAGACAGATTTCTTTATTGCCGGATTTTAAATATTCCATTGCCATTGTGAATCTCCCCAAGAGAAAAATATAGTGTGCAGTGTTTCCCAATCTTATTTGGCCATAGAACACCCTTTCTCCTGAAGTCATTCACAAAACCAGGGTTGTGTGGCATGCATTCTGTGTAAACACTACAGTCAAAGTACATGCTGATTGTAGAATGTGGCCAGACTTGCCATACTCAGGCCCTCCCAGGCCTACACCAAACTTCTTAGGATAATACATGCCATCAGTATATAGTTTCAGGGCAACCCCTTTGTGTCTGATGCCTAGACTAGGCATTATACAATGGCATCAGATGACACTGGTGGCATGGTCGGTGATAGATCCATGTGTCTTGGCATGCTATGTAATTTTGCTGGAGTGTTAGGTAACATGTTTGAGGTGGTATGATTTGGTCATTCCCCACTTGAAGTTACCTGAGACTTGGTAAGACCTCCTCCCTAACACTAGCATATACAGAGACTCAAGAACCTATAACACAGAACACTTCCAGGTGGACACCTGATGGTATCCTTTGCTAAAAATGTATCTTTTACACATATCAGTATGCTATAGTTTCCACAAGATTTGTGTCAGGAATTTTTTTGTTTTATGCCATGTCTCCACCTAAGCCTACACCCTTTTTTCTTCAACTACCGCGACATACAAACTATTTCCCATCCATGTCAAATTAGTTATGTCGTTCTCACAATTCATGATGGAAAGTCAAGCTGCTGGGCCTTATTCAAACTGCTCCTTTCTGGACTGCCTTTCTCTACCTGTCTACACTCTCTTGAGACTCACCTGAAATATATCCTCCATTATGGAAATTTTTCTTATTAAAACTCCCGAGTATTACCCACTCACTTTGCATTCCCACCAAATATGGCAGCGTTATTCTAAGGGATTTATTTATTTATGTGTTTGTTCTCTACCAAGTTGGGATCTCCCTGATGACAGAGCCCATGTCCTACTAGGCTTTGTGATTCTAGCCTAGTATAGTGCTAAGACATAGAAGGCACTCAGTAGTTATTGTAAAAGAAAAGAATGAGCAGACACAGTCCCTATCTCTTTTCACACCACTTCTGTTTCTAACATGACTGGTGACATTTTTAAAAAGTCATGTCTATATATGCTAGATAGTGTAACATATAGAAGTGTCTATAGCTATAGTAGTGATTTCTAAAAGGGGAAAATACCTTTTGTGACTAAAAATAGAAATATACTTTTTTCTGTAGCATAAAAAAGAAAAAAGCATCCAGTATCATTTTTAGTGATAAAACACTTTGCATTAAAAATTAAGGAGATAATATGCCAATATTTCCTACTATTATTGAAGATTTTCCTTAAACTTCTAGTCAGTGCAATAAAATGGGAAAAAAGAACAAGTGAATGAAAATGTACAACTAAGCTGGGCTCGGTGGCCCAGCCTGTAATCCTGCGCCTTTGGGAAGCTGAGGTGAGTGGATTGCCTGAGCCCGCGGGTTCGAGACCCACCTGGGCAGTGAGACCTCATCTCTACAATAAATCAAAAAATCAGCCGGGCGTGGTAGCACATGCCTTTAATTCCGGCTACTCGGAAGGCTAAGGTGGAAGGATTGCCGGAGCCCAGCAGGTTGAGGCTGCGGTGGCCGGGAGCGGCCACTGCACTCCAGTCTGGGCAACAGAGTGAGACTACAACTCAAAAAAAAAAAAAAAAGAAAAAGAAAATGTACAACTAGTGGGAAATGAGATGACAATAATAATAATTGGTAGAAAATATAGTTTTCTACTTAGATGACTTGGTAACTCACTGAAAAACTATTAAAACTAATAATTCTCCAACCTAGGTGACCATCTGTGGTGGAATGAATAAGGAAAATGTGATACATATTTACCCTGGAGTACTACACATTCATAAAAAAGAACAAAATCATGTTCTTTCCAGCAACATGGATGCAACTAGAGGCCATCATCCTGAGCAAATTTTCAAAGAAACAGAAAACTGAAGGCCATATGTTTTCCCTAAGAACAAGAGGTAAACACTGTATGTACTTGGACACAAGGATAGGAACAACAGACACTAGGGCACTCCTAAAGCAGGAAGGGAGGAGGGGGTATTAAGGGCTGAAAATAAACTCTGGGTACTGTTTCTATCACCTGAGTGATGGGCTCAATATAAGCCCAAGCCTCTACATCACGCAATATTCCTATGTAACAAAACTTCACATATACCCCCTGAAAATAGAAAATTAAGAGAATAAACCATATATATTCATGGATTTCCTTTAAGTTTTTCTTAATAAAAGCTTTCCACTAAAATGGCAAAAAAAAAAAAAAACTGTATAAAGGTAAACTTTCTTAGATACCATTTGAAATTAATTATAAGACATAGCCAAAAATGATTCTATTTATAAAGGCAATAAAAATAAGATACTTAGATGTTTATCTAGTTTATATGAAGTAAACTATTAAATTTTAACAGCATTACTCAAGAGTGAATCCTGAACGTTTACCATAATACTATAAGAAAGGGAGTGGCTAGCTGGGCTCGGTGGCTCAGCCTGTAATCCCGCACCTTTGGGAGGCTGAGGTGAATGGATTGCCTGAGCCCGCGGTTTCGAGACCAGCCTGAGTAGCGAGACCTCATCTCTACAATAAATCAAAAAAAAAAAAAAAAAAAAAATCAGCCAGGCGTGGTAGCGCATGCCTGTAATTCCGGCTACTTGGAAGGCTGAGGCGGAAGGATCGCCGGAGCCCAGCAGGTCGAGGCTGCGGTGGTCGGGAGCGGCCACTGCACTCCAGTCTGGGCGACTGAGTGAGACTCCAACTCAAAAAAACCCAAAAAAACAAAAACAGAGTGGCAGTAGCGGGACACTGCCAGAGGAGGGAGAGAGGATCACACAGCATCAATAAGGGTCCCTGATCTCAAACCAGGCAAAGTGGGGACCTAAGGGAGACCCAAACTCTACCTGTATGATGACCATTTGTATACTAATCTTGAACTGTACAGTTGTACCCCACATCTTTAAAATAAAATAAATAAATAAATAAACAAATTTAAACAGCGATATAACAAAACATTTAAATCAGCCACCTATGTTTCTGGAAGGAAATAGTGACTACTTCGAAGAGGTTGGGTCTTCCTAAGTATATATAGGCTTAGGTCACTTCCTCTAAAATCCTAACATTTTATTATTATTTATTTTTTCTGGGAGATGGAGTATGGTTGTGGTGCAAATAATACTACAGCCTATCTGCAAAAACAAGTAGAAGAAAATTTCAAAATAGTTTAAAGAGGGGACAAATTGAACTATCTTGGAAAACAACTATTATAAAGCTCTCTGTATTAATAAAGTAGCCCTGGCTCACAGAGACAGACAGATCAGTGGAACATAGTCTGTCTTCCATATCTTTGTCAGTTACCTCTGAAATAAGCTCCAGATTATATAGGTACACTTTATCTGACAACAAAAGCTAAAAATGGTAAAGGGATGGTTTACTCAAAATAGGCTTTGATATATTAGAAGTTGACTATATAGAAAAAAAAGTGTAAGTGGTGGTGCTTCAGCTACCATTCCACAAAATAAATTCCTGATGGATTCAGATGTTGCAAAATAATTAAAGATAAAATGTAAAAGTATGTTTAATTTTTGTATAATAAAGCATAACAAAACATAGAAATCTAGTAATATATTTAAGTAATCATGAAAGCAATAACTGAATAAGAGAAAAGATTACTTGAACACATGGAAAGACTGTACATGTTTCTGAATGAGAAGACAGCACAGAAAAGATGCCAATCTCTTGCAAATTAATCTATAGGCTTAAACGCAATCATAATATATTTGTTTTTAGAAAATGACAAATCACCTATAGAAACAAATGAAAAGAATAGAGAAGAAAGTTCTAAAAAATTATAGTGGGGATTCCTGCCCTACCAGAAATTATAATAGTATAAAGTTATGCTAATTAAATACAAAGTGGTTTGTGATAGAATAGATGAATCAATGAAACAGAAAAAGGGGATGAGAAACACAACACAACATTAATTTTTTTGACATTAAGTTAGAACAAACTTTCTGAAAAGTCATTTGCCAATATTTGTTTATTTTTTACTTTTATTTTTTAGAGACAGGGTCTCACTCTGTCACACAGACTGGAGTGCAGTTGCACGATCATAGCTGACTGTACCCTCAAACTCTTGGGCTAAAGAGATTCTCTTGCTTCAGCCTCCCAAGTAGCTGGGACTACAGGTGCACACTATCACATCTGGCTAATTTATTTTTATTATTTATTTTTTGTAGGAATGGAATTTTTACCATGTTGCCCAGGTTGGTCTCAAACTCACAGCCTCAAGTGATCCTCCCACCTCAGCCTCCCAAAGTGCTGAGATTACAGGAGTGAGCCACTGTGCCCAACCGGCAATATTTATAAAGCATGCTAAATACTCACACATTTATTCTTAGTAATTTAAAAAAATCTATCCTAAGGAAATAAGTGCATGTGGAAAAAGGTTTATCGAAAAGCATTCCTCATATCTTTATATATTAGCAAAGTAAATGTGGAAGCAACTTAAAATGTCACAACACACAAATACATACAATAGGAAAATATGCTATTAAATGACTAGAAATAATGTCCCCCAAAATGTCAATATTACTCTACATGAAAAAAAATCAAGATAGGAGACAATGATGCCAAAATTGTTGTTTAAAACAAGAAAAGAGAAAGAATATAAGAAAATATCAGATAGAAATATACCAAAATATTTGCAGTTGTTCCCACTGGGTTTTTTGTTTATTTTCTTTCTAGTCTCCAGGCTTTTTACAATGTACCATTTGAATAAACATCATTCTATCAAATAAGCTAAGTGTTTGGGATCTTTTAATTTCTTACAGAAAGGGCTTCCTAGCACAAGACAATTTTTTCAGTTATCACATTGCAATATTCATTTCATATATATATATGAATATATATATATATTATATATCTTGTGATTCTGTGTTTAGTTTCAGGCAAGAAGCTAAAAACTTTTGTGCATTTTGGTCAAGCATGCATTTACACTTGAACTTACCGTTCTCTGTGTTTTAATATCATGTAAAGGGTGACACCAGTCAAGAAGATAAGAAGTACTGAACCTGCAGAAATACCTAAGGGAGAAAAAACAGTGAGTAACAAATGTCGGGAAAATGTGACCTATATTGTTTTGAACTGATTGTAAGGCCTATTGCTGGTGGTAGGGACGGTGTTGAATTCCTGAATAATCATACTTAGTCTTGAGGTTTTTCTGACTTAATCCAGTGCACACTTATTCCAAAGCACCAAGCACATGACTGCAGGGTTCCAGTCAACTTTCTGTTGAGTTTTTCTGTGCCTTTCAGTTTTACTAGTAACATTCTTGTTACTGAGGTGATAGGAGAGAAATCTAACAGGATACCAGGTCATCATAATTTTGCATAACAACACAATGTTCAGTTGTGAAGTATATTTTGCTACAGAAGAATAAGTCAACCTATTTTGATAACACCAAATCATGCAAAAGACCAAGAGTTAATGAAAACTAAAATATCAATTTAAAGAGAAGGAAGGATTGGCTGTTCAAATTATTTATCCAACTCTATCCCAAAGTGACATTTTTTAATGTTACATGCACATTAACGTATCCTTAAAACACCAAAAAAGATCATTTTCTATGAGTTAAAGTAAGAAAGTATTAACAGATAGGATATAAGGCCTCTAGTTTTACATATTTTAATAAAATATCATAAGAACTTTTCTTTAAATATTTAAGAAAACTTACCACAAACAAGGGGAGTGAGTAGGCCTAAGGAAAATACAAAATTACAAAAAATCAGTCTGGTAGCATAATTCAATGTAGCCCTAAGTAACATGGCAATGTCCCAGAAGTAATGCTCAGCTCCCTTCTAAATCTCTTTAAAAGATACATTGAAACACTGAGATACCCACTCTTTTGTAACAACTCACTGGGCTTTTTATTCCTCTTCCCCACTTTAATCAGGTAGGTTGTGAGAGTCCCCAATGGGGGAAAAATATACCCAACTTTATAATCAGAAATTTTTCAGGTTAGAATGCAAATATTACTGTTATAACTAAATAATTATCATATTTTTGGAGATACCGGTCAAAGTGGTAAGCACTTAATCAAGATTTAGTAAGGCTGCCTGTCTATACAGCAACTCCTTTCAAAAATATAAGCTTGTTCATTTTGCATTTTTGCTTCTTTTATGGAAGCATTCCTGTCTATTTCCTTTTATTTACTTTTGCCATCCTCAGAAAGTTGTGCTTTTTCTAGAATAGACTTCAAGTTCCTCTGTGATTGTACCACTAGTCACAGACCTATGAAGAATTAGAGAGTTAGACTAGAAGCAAAAAAAAACTGTAATTCAGAATACTTAAATTTAAAACCCAGGAGTCTCCCCACTGAGGGAGGCTCTCTACTTTCTTCTCTCCAGGTGCCCGGTACAAACCACAGTGAAGCCCTCTGCACTTACGGGATCTGCAAACAGCCAGGGGAGGGTTCCACTGGTGATTGGCCTGGCACTGGCTCTGAGGACTGCCTTCCAGGGTATAGCCCTCTTCACACTCCAGAGTTACAATAGCTCCATACTGATACATTTTTCTGGGCTCCATCCCCTTGTGGATTCCATTCATATCTGCTGGAGAGCTACAGTTGACCTCTGAAATTAAGGGAATTTAAATGAAATGGAGTCATATTTTGACCTTTTTACCCAAGAAAGCAGACACTGTTCTTAATAGAAAGGTTTATGAAATCAACTTATTTTATTCTCAGTAATGAAAGCTTCAGTGAAATGGCATAAGACAACATCCTTGGCACAGTCTTTTCATGTCAACCTTCTATCTCAATAACTTCCAGGTAAATTAAGTCAGATTATTTTCTTTCTTTTTGTTTCAGTTTCTATGATAACAGTGTTAGAAAATTTTAATGACTTTTTGGAGAAATGGTGAGGCCTGAATGGGTAACATTAAGTATTCTGAATTACTGTTTTTTCTGCTTCTAGTCTAACTCTCTAATTTTTCATATATGTGTATGCTTTCTCATTTCTTCTTTCGTCTTTTCAGTGTAGGCGCCATTAGTGTGAGATCTGGGATTTGAATCCTCACTGTGGCACTATTCAGTGTGTGACTTTGCTTGTTATAAATCTCTCCGTACTACTGGAACTTCATCTATAAAACAGGAATAATCATAGCACCAACCTCATGTGGATCTTAGGAAGACTAAATGAGACCAAACATTGTCAAGTGCTGTGCACAGTATCTGGCAAGGAGTAAAAAGCACTCAGCAAATATTAGATGTGAGCATATTACTCGTCTTTCATATGCATTGTTTATGATCATGAAAATGACTTTCTAAGACTTTTATCTAAAATGTCCCCATCATCTTATCAACACTCAGAGGAAATGAACTTAAAAAATTGTGTTTTTTAAATTAGTATTTTGTCAAATACACACCATAACTGCAACCACAATGTAAGTAAAAAAGCTGTGCTTTTGTTGCTTAATTTACAAAAGCACTTCAACTTTCTATATGAAAATGCAAACATAGGTGGTTATTCATCAAATAGACTACAGACTAAGCTACTTTCTTAGTTTGAGATATTTAGATTAATGAGTGCATTAATCCAATTTAAAGCATTTAATAATGTATTAACACAAATGCATTAAATTAAATGATCCAATTACTGTATTTCTTTGGCTGTCTTAAGTTGAAATTACCTAGCATAATATATCTATTTGGCACAAATTTAATTTCAAAATAAGAACCAAAAAATTAGACAGAACACCTTTACAATGAGGGGCAGGTTGGCTCCAGGTTCCCTCATACGTGCAAAGAAGGAGTGCTTCTCCCACTAGCAGGTAGCCTTGGTCACAGCTGTACAGGATTGACATTCCAGGGGAAAACCGAGATATGTTTCCACCAGTATGATTCCCATTGGGGGTCTTAGATGGAGGCTGACACCCTAAGAAAGCTTAGACACCAATAAGAAAGGGTCTTTAACTTGGCACAGAGGAACATACAGTCAAAACTATGTCTTTGTGATAGCAATACAGAAAGGCAGCAAACACCCCAACTAACCGGTATCCAGAAACACTCATTCATTCCACTCAGATCAAGCCACATTGGACAGAGATCTATATCATATATGATGTGAAGAAAAGGGTCAAAAGTAAAATAATGAAACATCAATGGCTGCAGTCCACAATTGTAATCCATTAGCCAACAGTTAGTCTTTTCTTTTTCCTTCAAGTAGCAGATGGGTCATATATTCAAATGCCTACAGGAGCTAGGATGTGAAGTCATCAGATATGACAAATCAGAGAGTCCCTCTCCTTCTAAGAGTGGCAGCCACTGCTCTGCTCAAGTTATTGATGCCTTGCCAGGAAGCAAAGGGGACACTCACTGCTCACAGGCTCACTATTTATCTTGAGTTGAAAATGGGTTTCATTTAAAATAAGACTACTGTGCTGGCCAAAGAAAACAATTTTAGGAAGTTGAGTTCAGTATTTGGGTCACCAATTGGCAGCCTTTGATGTAGACAGTTACTGAAAAGAATAAGGCTGCTGAATGATAATTCAAATCAGAAGAAAGACAGTGGTTCTGGTTCAATCTCCAGAACACCCAAAGTTTTCTTTCAGGATGATATTATAGAACTAAGTATCAAATTATCCAACAAAATTACTACAAAACATTTGCCCAAAAAGTATGTGCATTTTTCTTACTCTAAATGCATAAGCATAATAAGAAAATTTGTAAGAATTGATGGAGATGCCATCAATTTGAAGTTGATCATTAACCTCTCATATACCATTGCTCAACACACTGAGAAAGGAAAGGGAAAACATAATCAGATGAGAAGAAAAGGCAGAATCTTGTAAAGCCATATGATTGCCTGAGCTTTTAGATGCTTTTCTTTAGACAAAATGGCAAGTGTAGACTCAAAAATGTTTTCCTTTCTTTATTCTGTACAACATCCCACATTTTATCCCTTAAAATATCTTACCCTTTCTGATACAAGTTGGTACACCTGGCACCCATGTGTTATCGGTATGACACCTAATCAAGTGACTGCCATTCATGATGAAGCCCGGATTGCAGGTGACATATACTATGTCATTGTGGGAATAAGCAGGATATGTTTTATTGAGCTTGTACCCATGTCTGACTTCTGGGTCAGGGCACTGAGTCACAGGAGGAGATGGTAAGCACTGTGGGGGAGGTCCACTCCAAGATCCATGTCCTTTAGAGTCACTTCTGCACCATAACCTTTTCTCTCCCAGAAGATAGAATCCTTGCTCACATTCATAAGAGACTTCATGTCCATATTGAAAGTGTCCTGCTGTTATGCTGGTGTGCCTCCCATTGCCAATTACTGGTGGAGGTTGACAGTGAATAACTGCAGAAGAGATATGGGGAATTTTACTTCAGTTAGTGCATCAACCTGAACTGTCTTCATTCAGGTACAAATGACACTATACAACTGTATAGATTTCACATAACTAGAGAATTACCTAAATTTTGGAAACTGAATTATGCTTTAGCCTTATTAAATGTGATTATATGAGTAATACATACTCATTCAAACAAATTCAGAAGTACACTAAAGTATTAAGAAAGAAATAAATACAACCATGTCTCCATGATCTAGGAATATGAGCTAAATTTTATATTGTTGGCAAAATGAGCAGATATGTGGAAAATACTCAGTTCCTACTTGGCAATGTTGTTTCCTAATACCAATGTTGATTAAATACTTTAAGACTTATCTTGTTTCACCTCTACTGAAGGAGAACCTAAAGACTACAGAAGCAGTGGTAGACTAGTTCTTTGGTGGCCTGCCCTCTCTAACCCCTGACTAACACTGTCAACTTTTAATTTTTTCTAACTTACCTTTACAAAGTGAAATATTTTGGAACCAAACTCCATTCTCAGCATCTTGACACTTCTGATAAGCATATCCAGTCAACTGGTACCTGTAGAGAGACAGACTATAATGCATTTTCTCTTCCCAAGATCACATCTCTGGAACTTCATTTCTTTAAGCCATAAATAGAAAGGGACTTCTAAAGAAGAACTTGGCAGAGAAGAGATAAAATTCTTGGTCCTCCAAGTAAGAAAACTACTTTAGACTTAGAGTCACTCACAGCAGAGCCCTTTCTATGTCAAGAAAGGACTGAAGAGTCAGAGCTGCAAGTTGAGCCATTAAAACCTCACATTCTCTGTAAGTGTGACAGTGAGGAATCTCTAAAGGTAGTCACCAAGACAAGCTGAAGGTAGAGTTAATGCACATAACAAGGGGATGATCCTTTCTCAGAATAGATCATCTCATACTTACCCCTCTTGACAGGACGTATTAACTAGTCCCACACGTGAACCAACTGGAAGTTCTTGAAGATCCTCTCTCACAGGCTGACATGTTTCTGGAGGAGCAAAGATGGAATTACACTATTAATAGATGCCTCATATCAAAAAGAAAGACAACTCTGGAACTGAAAGTACCTTCACACCGTGGGGCAGAAGGACTCCAATTTCCTGAGGGCATACACTGAATGGATTTGCTTCCCACAAGCACGTAGCCGGGGTCACAAGTGTAGTCTACAGTCATCCCAGAGACAAAGAGAACTGTATTTCCACCTGTATGCCGACCATGATGGAGCTCAGGAGGCAGCTGGCAGCCTGAAGAGAAAACTCTCTAAATAAATATCAATACAGAGGAATTTCTATTCAAGAACATTAAGCAGACAACATTTGACAACAGACCATATGAAGTGCTGAAGCCAAAAAATTTACCAGTGAATGCTGTCTACACTTTTGAAGGAACTAGGTCCCTTTAAAAAGGTCCTCTCATTATCTACCCCAGATAGATCCCATATCCAAGGGAGAGTTTACATGAAGAATACAAACAACACAGAGAATATTCTATTACAGAATTTTTAAAAATGGAAAGTAATCTGTGTGCCCTCGTTTTTTTCCACCATAAAGTCCTTGGGTGGAAGGTAAAAAACAAGAATAAGAGAACAAGTATATCTCCAATGAGTTTTTACCTTTTTCACACACTGGTATTTCTGGATCCCAGGTGTTATTGGCTTTGCAACGAATCTGACTACTGCCCTTCAAAGTAAATCCATTATTACACTTGAATGTCACACTGTCATTGTAGGAATACGGGGCTTCCTTGCCAGATATCTTGTATCCATTTGCAACATAGGCATGTGAGCACTGGACAGCAGGGAGGGAAAGTTTACAGAGGGGAGCACGGCCACTCCAGGTGCCTGTCTTTTGATCGTTGCTTATACAGCGGATGGTGCTCTCTCCAATGAGGCTAAATTCCACTTCTTTTTCTGGCCCGGTGTTACATGTGTATGTGACTGTGATTCCATATGGAAAGTCTTTTGAAGAACTCCCTGTGTGTGTCCCATTGTAGATAACAGGGGGTGGTGGGCAGGTGATTTCTGGGGAGAGGAAAAGATGCTATAGAATTCTGTTCCAGGTTTAGACACCAATGAATAGAAATGAATCTGGTTATGAACCTGTTGTTTCCTAGAGGGTATGGGCAAATGTTCATGATGTGAATTATATCAAAGCTCATTATGTATGTAAAATTCAATTTAAACAGATTTCACATGAAAGAAAAAATCTTTTTAAAGGGTGACTATAACAAATTTAATTGCTTAACAAGCATTTAAAATACATTTATAAGTAAAGAAAAATTACTCTATATCTTTAAAATGTAAACTTGATTGCTGACCCAAGTTTCTAGCTGTTGTAAGATTTTTTAAATGTACAGATCTTTGTCTTTTTTATTTTAAAAATTCATAGAATAATCAACAAAAATTTTGCACTGACTGGTAGTGATCTGATAGAAAACTATTTTAATAATTATTGATGTTTACATGGGAACTCTGTCATTAAATACAGTCTCACTTTTCAGTAAGTAAAACTTTAAAAAACAAATCATCAGAGATGTATTGTGTGGTTGGGCAAAGTAAAAGCAAGCCTGGAATGAGCTGCCCAGTGAATATGCACATCGTTCAGAGTTCAGACACATGCTACTGAGTCTACATAAAGGAGCCAACTGGTGTCATTTCTTCAGACATAAACCATGTCAGCTCCTGATATTTCCAAAGTTCTACCATGGAGCCAACACAGACATAGATATAAATAATAAAAGCTTTACTCATACAAGATTAAGAAAGACAAAGTTTTTGCCTAATAAATCATTTTCACTTAAAAAACAAAAAAGAGTGAATAAGATCATATTATGGGACAGTAGAGCCCAGTAGTGAATTGCTAATTAAAAGATTTCAGGCCAGGCGCAGTGGCTCATAGCTACAATCCCAGCACTTTGGGAAGCAGAGATGAGAAGATCTTTTACGACAGGAGTTTGAGACCAGGCTGGGTAACACAGAGAGATCTTGTCTCTACAAAAAAACTAGCTAAGCATGGTGGCACACATCTGTAGTAGTAACAGCCTCTTAGGAAGCTGAGGTGGAAGGATCACCTAAGCCCAGGAGGTCAAGGCTGCCATGAACCAAGATTGTGCCACTGCACTCCTGCCTGGGTGACAGAGTGAGACTCTGACTTAAAAAAAATCTTTCTAAACAGGCACTAGGAGAATAAAAGGCACAGTGGACTAGACTTGTGCTTTCTTGAGTTCTATATTTGTGTTGACATGATATGATAATTTATATGGTTAGCTAAGAATATTTAGTGTTGATTGATCACCTACTTTGTGCTAGGCAGTTTCCTCATCTAGAAAGTAGGGATAGTATAATTTAATTCTAATAATTTTGAAGTCTGTAGTCTTATGCCAACTTTACAGATAAGAGGTTAGAGTTTCAGAGAAGTTATGTAAATTGCCTAAGGTCATACACCTATTTAAACAGCAGAAACAGAATCTGAGTTCAGATCTAATACCAATCAATTCCCTCATCTCTCCACTAAACTGTGGTCAAACCACAATTAAAATGGTGGCTATAGACTCACTGCTCTCATTATTCCTTTAACCATAAATCACAAAAGAGAATCAGTACCTAAGTACATTTAACTTAACTGACTGAAGCAGGAAAAGGTGACAAAAGAAAAAATAGCAAAACTGTGCAATTACAACTGTGGGCAAAATTAATTCCCATAACATGGTCTAAAACAGAAATCTTCCAGGAAATGCATAGATCTCACATTATTTCAGCTCCTATGTTATTTTTGCTACTCACCTTTACAAAGACGAATTTCCATATACCAAGGAACTATGCCTTTACACAGCTGATAAACACTCTCACTTAACCGGTACCTAGGACAAAGAGTTATGTTATTTTGCCATCAGGGGACCACTAAACTAAGCAAGAGTCATTAACTCCAAAGGAAACTCACCACATTCAAGACAAGAAGCAAAAGGAACAAAAATGAAGCCAACATCATCACCATCCATACATCACACAGGCATCATTTCTATGCATGGAAAAATAGCCTGACAGACACTTCCATGAGCATGTGACAGGTAAGAACTTTTGAGACAAACTCTTACATGAAGCTTGCAGTGCGAAATGATAAGCCAGACCTAGTTCAGGCTGCATCAGCCTTCACGTACCCGTCCTCGCAAGAGGAGTTAACATCTGGTCTAATAATTTGATACTGGGGTTTTGTAAAGAGTTGCCTTCCTATAGGTTCACACTCCGCCACTAAGAAAAGAGACTAGTATGAGAAATCAACTCAAGACAATATTAAAACCAGTCAAAAATCTACAGTTGAGGCCTGGCACCTTTGCACTGGGGGGTAGTGGGTATCCACGTTCCCTCAGAGGTACAATGTATGGATTCTTCTCCCACCAGCACATAGCCAGGATCACAGCTATATTTTATGGATGTCCCAGGGTCGAAGTGGACCAGGTGACTATCTTCCTTTTTCCCATTGAGGATTTTAGGAGGGGCTTGGCATTCTAAAGGAAAGGAAGAAAACAAAACTTCTTAGATAAATAAGAGAAAGAAACAGAACCAAATAAATTGACAATATACTACGATTCTACTCTGGCAGCCATTGTGTGATAGAGAATGTGTGTTGCAGCCCAGTTTTGGGTAATTTTAGATCTACATTTCTCAATCTTGCTTTCTTTTCTGCATTTAGGCTGCTGCAGGTTTTGTCCAGTTCCTACCAGGTGTTGTAACTCCTCTACTGACTCTTCTCTTCTTGCGGAATCATCTTGTATGCTTTTATAGGAGAGTCTTATATACCCCTGGGATGAGGATTTTGATGACTTCCCTTTTAAACATCACTATTAAGACAAACAAGCAGTTTTCTTCTGCCTTTTTCCCCCCAAAGAAATGGGCAAGTTAATGATTTCTAACTTATATATTCCCACAAAATGAAACAATGGTGGGGGATGGTGTTAAGAAAGCCCTCTTTAAAATTTATATTCACTGTATTTAGTATAATTGAGGGGAATATAAACTGGAAAAGGCCCTGCTGAAAGTCCATAAATGCTTCTCCATACATTTTTCAAAAGTATGAGTCAGTAGCACCTTTTCTGAGTACTAGATCACTCACCTTTTTCACAGACTGGTACCGATGGCTCCCATGTGCCCTGGGCATTACATCGGATGTGCTTGCTGCCCTTCAAGGTGAAGCCAGACATGCAAGCAAATGCCACAGTATCATTATAAATATATAGATCTTTTGGCACAGATGTCATTTGGCCTCTTTGGATCTGGGGATGAGGACACTGAACTGCAGAAGTAGAAAGTTCACAGCGTGGGACAAGGCCACTCCAGATTCCATTCTTCTGGCTATCAGCTGTACAATGGATAGTTTTCTCCCCAGTAAGGATGAAGCTCACTCCTTCTTCTGGGTCTGGGTCACAAGTGTAAGTGACTGTGCTTCCATATGGAAAATTCTCTAAAGAGTTGCCTGTATGTCTTCCATTGAGAATAAAAGGAGGTGATGGGCAAAGAATTTCTAGAGAAAGTACACAGAGAAATGACAAGATCACAGATACACTACAAGCAAAGAACACCTGGGGTGCTGATACCACGCTCACATCCTAGGACAGTGATACCTGAATCTACAATGAACCAATCAAGGCAGTTAAAGCAATAGAACTTAAAAGTATGATTTTAAAGCTTCATTCCTGAGTGTATCTACTCTGCTGAACCTTTTATTTCTTTTACCAAATATACAATCCTCTTTAGGTACATGGTGTGACTGTATCCTTAGCAAGTCTAATAGCTTTCAGAGGAGAAAAAGCCCAGAAATTTCTTTTTACTTGAGGAAGTGGAGAATAAAGAGGTCATTGAAGGATGCTTCAATGAAGACCATATCCCTTAAAGGTCTCCAGGAATCTTTATTCTATAAGTCTGTAAGCTCATGACTGAGCCAAGAGCTTTGAGTAATGCTGAGGATGCAGTGCCCAATTGGACCTCCACTGCCTTACCTACCTTTACATACTGGCATTTTGGTCCAAACAGCTTGCTGTTCAACAATTACACACTTACTAGAAGGCTGGCCTTGTAATTGATACCTGAAGACAGAAGGTTGTCATTAGAACTATTAGGCATTTTGTGACGAAGAATAACAGCTTCTACTTCAAATCCAAGACTAGTTCATTTGTTTGCGTGTACACCTACTCCTTTTATCAGCATTACCTCTCACAACCTCACCCCAGACAGTCCATAGATCCTCACATAGAACCCTTCTACAGTTTTCACAATCCACATTATGCACTCATAAACCAAATGAATGAAATCTCATAGACCCTTCTGACACTTACCCTTCATCACAGACAAAGTTTACAGTTACATTAACCTGAAGACTTGGAGGCGTCTTTACCCGTCCATTGGGAAGTTCTGGAAGTTTACAATATGCCTCTTTCAAAAACAAAAAACAAAAAACAAAACAACAAGTCAATGGTGAGAAGGCATAGCAAATAACAGAACAGTCTAAATTCTTAAAATAGATTGTAAATATAGGGTACCTTTACATGTGGGAGTGACAGCACTCCAAGCTCCCGAAGTCAAACATGTAATGGTTTTTTCTCCAAGAAGCAAGTAACCAGGTTCACAGCTGTAAGTCACAGACATTCTTGGGGAAATGGAACCAACATTCTCACCAGTATGATGGCCATTTGGGATCCTGGGAAGTGGTGGACACTGCAGAGGGAAATCTTTACACACACACGTCAGAAAAAAAAAGTCATCAAATGATGCTGCTTTCACAATCTAAATGCTGATTTAGGACACAGATTCAAATAAATGACACATGATCTATGGGAACCAGTCGTCATTAATTTTCAACCTAGCCATTTAAAGACCAAACAGGTGTGGATTAATTGTATCTATTTTATGCCATAAATTGTACCTTATTTTTCATTTTTAATTCTACTACATGAATTACATTCGCCTCGTGAAAAACTTTAATTACCAACAAAAACCCATTTTCACCTATATTCTCACCCTATCCTTTAGCTTATTCTCCGTTCCTAAAGCAGCATACTATCATTTTGATGGTTATCTTGGTAGACGTCAGTATTATAGTTTATTGAGATCTTATATGTGATTCATATATACTTCTGTGTGTGTGTACCTTATACAAGAGGGGACCCAAAAAACCCCGGAATTATCTTTTGGAGCATGGACCTCTTGCTAGGTAAGTGTTTTAGGAACCCACTGGAATCACTGCACCAGCCAACATTGTGGTGAGAGGCTCTGTTGTGGAAGAAATATTCCAAGTTGTGGCAAACAGGTGATTGGTTCTTCCATCATGATAGTCAGCACACCTGTCCACACTATGCTGAGTGTTCAGCAGTTTTTGACCAAAAACAGTATGACCCCCATATTCCATCCTCCTATCCACCCCATCTTGCCTTGAGTGACTTTTTTTTCCCTCAGTCGAAAAAGTCCTCAAAAAGAAATGTGCTGCTGATGTGGAAGAGGTGAACCAAAAAATGTCAGAAACGCTAAATGGCATCAAAATTGATGAGTTCGAAAACTGTTTTGAGCAGTGTAAAAAAGCATATTGCATCAAATGGAGAGTACTTTGAAGGTGACTGAAGTTTAAACATGCAAGAATAAATACACAATTTTTTATGAATAAATTTCAGGTTTTTTGGGTCCCCCCTTGTACATATTATTTGATTCTTGCTTCCTTTAATTAATAATATGTCTATGATATCGTTCCATGTCAATACACATAGGTCTACCTGAATCTTTATGAAGACTTGTTTTCTAGAGCCACTCTATTTTGTGACTATCTTAAGAGCTCCTACCTCCAAGACTATCTATCAATCCGTCAATCAATAAATAGAATCATATTTTTAATAATTTAATAGTTTTTTCAGCTTTTTAATCCACTTAAAATTTACCACTTTGTTTTTTATTAAGAAAATAAATAACTGATTTTGATGGTATAATTTTGGTCAAATACTGCCAATTCTGTAATTGTAGAACTGAAATTCAGATTTATCATAAATAAATCAAATCAACATAAATCAAATCAAATGAGAAGGGATGAAGAATTTACAGAAGTCCCTATTTTCAAAGGCATTTGATCTGAAATGTGATGGCTCAAGAGGACTTGGGGAGATAGTGAATTACTTCAGATTATGTTTACAGAGATCACAGAGAGCAAGGTATCTTCTGTGCCAGACTATATTAACAGCAATTACTGAATTATTTTTAAGTTTCTTGGGTATATGTTCACTATTAGATCCCATTTCCCCCCCTCATTTAAAACAGTAATCCAGATATACAGTTTAAAACCACCCCATTCCCACAGCCCCAGTAAACTCTGGCCCCATCTTTGTGCACCTCCATTATTAGATATGTTCAATTACACTTACTTTAAACTCTTTTGTTCAATTCATGTTTTTTGAATGAATAGTTATATTCCTCCATGACTAAGAACAACAAGGAAACTGTATTTTCCCTTTCCCTCCCTTCCTCCTTCCATCCCCCTCATTACACATGACACTGCTCATCCTTCAGAAGAATGCAAGACATGGTCTACATGGAAATGCAAGACCCAGCCTCTCAACTCAGTTTTATTTTCATGCTTACCACTCTCACAGGTTGGTAGTTGTGTTGGCCCCCACAATCCATTTGCTTGGCACCAAACAGATTTGTTTCCTTTCATGGTGAAGTTAGTTTTACAAGTGAATGTCACAAAATCACCATGTCTGTATGATGGTCTAGAGCCTTTAATTTTGTATCCTCCTGGTACTGTAGGCTCAGAGCAAGTAGAATATTTATTGTAATATTCACATATAGGAGCAGCTTTATTCCAGATTCCTTTCACTTTGTCTTTATCTATACAAATAATAGTTTTTTCTCCGATGAGGCGGAACGCAGATAAACAAGTGTACCTTATCACAGTACCAGGAGGTATGGGGTTGGAATGATGACTACTCCAACCATTCTGGATACGAGGAGGAGGGTCACAAGAAATTCCTGAAAAGCAGAAGAGGAACTCGGTAGGCACACTGCTCATGGCAACAAAATATTCAAATTTATATTAGATAGTCAAATATAGGTCATATCACTTTTTCAGAAAAAGAATTAGAAACTTCTTACTCATAGTCTCTCCTTCTTCCCAAGCACCTAAATTCTTACCTCTCTTGATACTCAGCAAACAAACACAAACCATCTTGATCAAGCAATAACAATAAAATAGATTATATCCAAAAGTTCTGAGTCTAATCAGTTTCAAATATGAAACAAAAGGCAAATATAGCACATAAAAATAATATATGAATGATATGCTAGTTATTTGTGGGGAGGTACCATGGACTAAGGAAATATGAGTTCAGTAGACCTGGTTTCAAACCCCCACTGTCATTCAATAGCTGTGTGACCTTAGGCAAGTCTTACCCTCTTTAAGCCTCCAAGTATACTCTTAAAAGAGTATGATTACTCCTTTAAGTAAATATACTGCTATTTGAGAATAGAAGTATATTTAAATATCAAATTTATAAATCACTTTCTTCTTCAAACAAGTCTGAGATGGGAACAGGTGAAAGTCAGAGAATGAACATGGGCAAACAACACAAAGGTATACACGGAGCTCCCAAAGTTGTAGCCAGACCCAACCCTTCAGTGTCCCACAATGCTATTGGAGAAGTCATAGGAACTGGTTCTAAGAATAGCCATTACCATTGGGACTCAGATCTCATGTAGGTCTCCTTCTATCATTTCCTCAACTGCTTAGCTTCCTCCATTAACACCTACAAATGTTTCCAAGTGTCTTCTCTGTGTAAAACAGCAAAATTCTATAAGGAATGTCAGAGTTTGACCTCAACAAAGGCAAACTTCATGATCCTGACCCTTACTTGTACCAGTTACTCTAGCCAATAGATTTAAACTGTAATGATCAAATGTAAATAAAGACAATATCAAATTATTTTCTACAAGCTGGGAAATGAATTTACATGTACAATATTTAATCAGTAGCAATGATATTGTCTAAGATGGAACTAAGCTCTGAAAACAGCAAAAGCAGAAGTGTGCTTCATAGCATGACTTCCATGGTGAAAAGAGACAACAATCACACTTCCTGGAAGAAAAATAATGGGAAAATCTTTCCCAATAAGGATACCTGAGGACTCTATTCCTTTGGAGAAATTAGTCCTCTTTAGTAATAAAATTGCCCAAATCCAGGTAACAGGACAGAATTTCCAGAGATCAGTTCCTCTTGCATATCAAAAAATGGAAGGGTAGTTTAGGAACCAGTAAGTAATATGAATTTTCTTGAGGGTCACTGCACCCTCTTCACATCTTTCAGTAATCAGGAATGAAACTCAGAGTAGATCATGACTAGATCTAAAATAGAAAATGTGGGCAAGACATTCCCACACATCCCTCAAACCATGTTACAAACGAACTAGGTCTAAGGGGTTTTACCTGGAATGGCTTGGAAATCCACATGAAATGAATGAAAAAACAAATATATAGGATAATAAAAATAAAACTGAAAGATCAGAAAGCAGGTAGGAGGGGAAATTATTGTTGAGAATAAGAACTCAATATAATCAAATACCTTAATACCAGGTTTCCTGGCTATTTGATAAGCAAATTTTTGTTTGTTTGAGCCCAGCTGATTATTTGTGGCTAATTATTTGTCCAGGCTGGTCTTGAGCTCCTGGGCTCAAGCAATATTTCTGCCTGGGCTTCCCAAAGTGCTGGGATTACAGGCATGAGCCACAGCACCTGGCCTGATAAGAAAGTTTGGAATGACAACGTGAAAGTTGTCAGAATCAAAACAGAGTCACTAAAGTTAAAAAACAAAACAAAAAACTGACTAATAGAGCCAGAGAAGGCCATGAAAAGAAGGTTCTCATACTTGCTTGCCTGATAACAAAAACGACCACAAAAGATAGCAAAAATCTTGCACAAAGGCCATTTTAACGTTACACAAAAAATAATAATTCTGCAAGAACATTTGTCCAACTGCCTGTCTAATCTCAGACTGACATCACCCTTAATACTGATCTTCATAGCCAATTGTAATGATTTCAAAACAATTATATAATCCTCATTTTTTCCTTTAAAAACCTCTATCTTCCTTTACCTCCCTAAACACACACACAAATTACCATGGCATGTGCATTCACACTGCAATGCTCTATTCCCAAATAAATATCTTCGACTTGTAGAGAGCCACTCTGTTAATTAGGTTGATAACAATTATACATATCAACCAAGGTGCAGTCCTAAACACAGGAGAAAGGATACTATTTCTTTTTTTTTTTTTTTTTTTTTGAGTTGGAGTCTCACTCTGTCGCCCAGACTAGAGTGCAGTGGCCACTCCCGGCCACCACAGCCTCGACCTGCTGGGCTCTGACGATCCTTCCGCCTCAAGCCTTCCGAGTCGCCGGAATTACAGGCGCGTGCTACCACGCCCGGCTGATTTTTTTGGTTTTTGTTTTTTATTTATTGTAGAGATGATGTCTTGCCAAGTGGCCCAGGCGAGTCTCGAACCCACGGGCTCAGGCAATCCACTCACCTCTGCCTCCCAAAGCGCGGGATTACAGGCTGAGCCACCGAGCCCAGCTAAGGATACTATTTCAATGTGTATTTATTGAATTCCAAGTTACATGCTGATACTAGGGATTCAAATCAGGCAGACAGAGAAAGCCTTGCTCTCATGGAAGTTATATTCCAGTGAAGGAACAAACAATAGACAGTAAATAAGTAGACAAGAAAGTTTCAGATAGTGATAGGTGGTCTGCAGAAAATAGAACACAATTATATATAGGAGAGCATACGGGGTCTGGACTATTCCAGACAAGAGTCATAGAAAACCAACAAGGGGCTTAGCCTTGGATATTGAGAAGGAGCCAAGCAAAGGATGATCTGTAGGAAGAAGTTTTCAAAAGAGAGGATAGCTAGTGCAACTGTGTTCAAGGAATAAAGAGAAGGCAGTGTGGCTGGAGCAGAGAGAGTGAGAGGATTAGCAGAGAATTTCAGAGAGCAGCAGTGGCCGCAGAGTGAAGAATTAGGGGCATAAGTTTTATTCTAATATAATAGGAAGCCCTCAACAGGCTTTTTTGCAAGGAAGAACAGGATCTGATCCCAGATGGAAATAGGTTTGTAGATCTGCTGATTGGAAAATGAAAGAATTCCTATTTCAGGTTTTTCTTAGTGTAGGATAAGGTTAGCTTGCCAGTGAAGGCTTGCATGAAATCTAAGAGTACTGGAAATTGGAATCTGTTTACGCAAATAGACAAAAGGAAAAAAATGGGAAAACACTAAGAAGAAAATTTGCTTCCCATTGACTTGGTTTATAGCTGTGTGCCTTATGGAGGCTTGCTTCAGAATCTTCTAGAGAGTGCTTGCTAAACCTCTGCGGCCTGTGCTATGCTCCAAACCTATGACTTTCTGGGGGAGGGAGGTGGAACCCAGGAACCCATATTTTAAAAAGGTACTTTTAGAGTTGCTTAGGCTTACTCAAGTGCAGGAAGTGGCCGAGAGTCAAAAGACCATCTGTGAAAGGTACAAAGTAGCAGTAAAAGCCAGTAGGGGGAAGTGGGCAGGGCATGAACAATGAGTGACAGGTGGGCAAGAGTATGGGTAGCACATACATGACAGGGAACAGGGAGGAGTCAGGAGGGACATGCTTAGGTGAGATTCAATTCCAAAGGGCTTGAAAGTTCACAGAGACTAGATTTTCTCCCGCAGGCAGTAGGGAGCCCTTTTAGATTTTTGAGCAAGAGAGTGGAACGAAAATATATAATTTAAACAATTTTGGCTCTGATTGGAAAGGTTAAAGAGTGACTGACAGAGGAGAATAATAGACACAGGGAGCTCCAAGAAAAGTGAAGAATGGGAGGGGGGTATGGGTTGAAAAATTACATATTGGGTGCAGTGCTCACTATTTGGGTGAGGGGTACACCAGCAGCCTAGACTATGCAATATATCCATGTAATTAATCTACAGAGGTACCCTCTGAATCTATTTTAAAAAAATTAGTATGACATAATATGAAAAAAAGAGTGATCTATAAGAAAGGAGGTTGTTACACAGATCATTAGAATATTGGTATTGTATAAGAATGATAAAAAGACAAACAAGAGAAGCATATTAGTTGATGGGTAGACCTGGTCTTTCACAGTTCTGTGGTTAAGTGACCAAGACAATGACATTGTGTAACTTCAAGGGGATGATGAGTTGTCAGGGCTGGTGAAGGATTTGACTTTCAATTGATAGTATCGACTCTGAACTTTAGAAATAGGTAAGAAGTCAGGTGAAGGACTGTACCCTGTGGAGGAGTTAGATAGTTATGAATATGTGTCTGCTCAAAGGGAGTTAGTATATAGAAAAGGAGAGAGATGAAGATAATGGAAATGTTTATAGGTCAGGAGACAGTTACATGTCAGGATAGCAGACAGAGTAACTTGTAATAAACCAACATATGCAATATCCCTGTCGCCTTAACAAACTGAAGGTGGCCACTTAAATGCCCACTCCATAAAAACAGGTCCACACAGGAGGCTTATTACTGATATTTAGTAGCAAAAACTAACATCTAACTTTCATTTGCTTAGTTTCACCTGATACTCAGGGCAACTCAGTGGGGTGGCAGGACAATTTTTCACTAGTTTCACTCTACAGATGAAGAAGCTGAGGAGCTATAAGCCTACGTGCTATATGACTTGCCAAAACCACTCAGTTATTAAGGTCCGCATACAGTAAACGTCTTGGACAGTAGGAATTCACTGTCCCTGGAGATAATTAGAAAGCTAGATTCATCTTATAGCCAAGAGACTCTAATCTTAACAAACTGTAATACTTGAAAATCAAGCCAATCTTTAAAAAAAAAAGTTCTAAGAAACGTTGGATGAGACCTCCCGGAAGCCCAAACCATTACAAGAGATAAGTAACACGAAGAAAAGTGCAGTTTTAATTCACGAGTCAACTTTAAAAAAATAACTACAGATATTTACAGTTTAGGGTCTCTTTACCAACATCATATCAACGTTCTGAAAATCTGAAACCCATGCTTGGGAACCAATATTATTTTTATTGAGGTAAGGGAGCGGAGGCTCCGCTTTTCCTGGGCAGTACGGGGCTCGGTGTGCCCAGAAACCCCACGCGAAGCTGAGCGCGCCGCCTGGGTGGGTTTTGGTTACGTGGCGAGCGGTAGCGCTACAGTTCTCCGGGCACCCGCGGAACCCCGGGGGGCGGGGAGCCCAGGGAGGCGGCAGCGAGCACTCCCGCCGCCACCCGGGAATATCCGACAGCGCCTCTCTGTGGCGAAGCCCCCAGTTCTGGAGGTCCCAGCTCCTGGAGAATCCAGTGTGGATACTGAGGACCAGGCGGCTACAGGGATCCTCTAAAGTTAACCAGCGGCAGGCAAGCATCCAGCACTGCCCACGCTTTCTCGCTTCTGGCTGCCTGCTTTGTATCGCGGCACAGAGACCTTCCCTGCCCCCGACGCGTCTTGCCCCCGCGCTCCCCCTCCCAGCTCACCGAAGACCCCCGGCGCGACGAGAGCCAAGAAAGCCCAGGGCAGGCACGAGGCGCCCATGCCACCGCGCGGCCCCCGCGGCGGGATGCGTTCCGAGACCAGCGAGCTCCGGCAGCTCCTGGAGGGCAGGGCTGGAGGACCAGGCAGCTGCGAGTAAGGGGAGGCGGGCCCTTAAATAGTGTCTGGCACCATGTGCTAGGTTTGCGCGCACACCTGCAGGTGGCCTGGGGGCGGACGCCTGGCGGGTCAGGATGGGAGAGGCGGGGTGGCACGGCCCGCAGCGGCGGGAGGGAGAAGGGACTCTCAGCCACTCTTCGACTCGGACTCGCCCCTCAGTGCGGGGGACTCTGCAACTTTTGTGACCTTGCAACCCACTTTTTTCTTTTTTAGAACTGAAACAAAAATTTCGCGCAATAGTACTCGCCCTTACTCATCTACTATGCAGTGCCCTGCTATGTATGCTATCCTTATTCTTTTTAAATTTCCTGGTTTGAAAGATCTGAGTATCACATGTTCTCACTCATATAGTGGACTTGGAACATCTATCATTATACTGTAAGAAAAGGATTGACAGTGGTGGGAAACTATGGGGGGAGGGGGAGGGAGGGGAAGGGAGGTGGGATTAACGGTAGTTCATATCTATCTGGGGACAGGGGGACACCCCTTATCAACAAGGGTGCCTGAATGATGCATATTTGTATACCTAACCCTTAACTATACCCCACAATTTAAAAATAAAAAGTGTTAAAAAAAAAAATTTCCTGGTTTGGATCCAGTAAACTCATTTGAAAACCCACTAATGGATTCCACCTCCTGTTTGAAAAAGCAGTGTAAGTTCACTTAGGAAATTGAGGGACAGCAGCCACCTCTATTATTAAGCTCTTTTTATTTGGAAGTAATTTCTACCGAGGTTTCAAGAATAGTACAAAGAATTCCCATATACTTGTCACTCAAATTCTCTAAACGTTGACATTTCACTATATTCTCTTTACCATTCTTTCTCTCTAGATTTAGATATTTACATGTACAAATACATGATTTTATAATTATGATTATATAATTATTACTTTGGAACCATTGGGGATAACTTCCAGGCTCTTATCTCTCCTCTAAATACTTGTGTGTATCTTCTAAAAACAAGAATATCTTTCATAACTATAGTACAAGGATTAAAAATAAAACATTTAACATTAACACAATGCTATTTTATTTTCTTTTTGAAGTTTTAAAATTTATTTATTTTCCTTTACTTTAATAGATTTAGGGGGTACAAATAATTTTTGGGTATAGCTTTGTCACTATATTTATATAGTGACAAAGAAGTGTACCCCCATCCCCACCTGTGCACATTGTACCTGATAGGTAATTTTTCATCCCTCCACCCTTTCCCTTTCCCCATTCTGAATCTCCAGGGTCCATTATGTCATTCTCTAGGCCTTTGCCGATCCTTAGTTTAGCTCCTTCTTATAAGTAAGAACATGCAGTGTTTGGTTTTCTGTTCCTGCATTAATTCACTTAGGATTATGTCCTTCCATCCATCCATGTTGCTAGAAAGGACATTATTTCATTCTTTTTGATAGCTGAATGGTATTCCATAGTGTATCTGTACCATGTTTTCATTATCCGCTGATCAGTTGATGGACATTTAGTTAATTCCAGATTTTTTGCGATTGCAAATTGTGCTGTGATGAACATGTGGATGCAAGTGTCTTTTTTATATAGCAACGTATGTCCCTTTGGGCAGATACCTAGTAGTGGGATTGATGGATCAAATGGTAGATCTACTTTTAGTTCTTTGAGAAATCTACATACTGATTTCTATAGAGGTTGCACTAATTTAATCTCCCACCAATAGTAAGCATTCTCTTTTCTCCACATCTCCACCAGCATCTATTTTTATAACTTTATTATAGAGATGTGAGGTACAAGTTAGTATTAGGTACATAAGTAACCTATGTGCAGGTGAAGTTTGGGCCTCCATCTGGTCCTCACTTCCCCTGGTTTAAGACCAGGTACCCTTTGTGCAGTTACATGCTCCCTACTTCCTCCCCTGGCAGTGTCCCATGACTGCCAATCCCTCCTTTGTGCTATTGTGATTAATATTCTGGTCCCACTTATGAATGAAAAAATGTAGTATTTGGTTCTTCGTTTCTGTGATAGATCACTAAGTATGATTATCTCCTACTCCATTCAATTTGCAGCGAAGTCCATGACTTTGTCCTTCTTTATGGCTGCGTAATATTCCATTGTATATATGTAGCACATTTTCTTTATCCAGCCCACTTTCTCTTTTTTGTTATTTTCTTGTTTATTTTTTATAGTTAAAAAGCCCATTAAAATATTCTTTTTATTGTATTTGTTTTTTATTTTTTACTTTATTATAAAAATGTGAGGTACAAGTCAGGATTAAGTACATGAGAGGTTTACGAGAAGGTGAAGTTTTGGCCTCCATCTGGCCCTCACTTCACCTGGTTTAGGATTCAGCATTCTTAGTGAGGTTGTGTGGCTTATGTGCTCCCCATCTCTCTCCCTCCCCTGGCAGTATCCCTCTACTGCTGATCCCTTTCTTCTAGTATTGTGATATATGCTCACAACCCACTTATAAGTGAGAACATGTGGTATTCAGTTCTTTGTTTCTGTGATAGATCACCAAGTATGATGAACTTTAAATCCATTCAAGTTGCTGCGAAGTCCATAATTTTGTCCTTTTTTATAGCTGTATAATACTCCATTGTGTATATGTACCACATTTTCTTTATCCAGTCTGTTTTTGATGGGCAACAGGGTTGGTTCTATGTCTTTTTTGTAGAACAATTTCTGTTCCTCTGGATATAGTCCTGAAAGGAGGATCGCTGAATCGTATGGAAGGTCAATTTCTAGTTCCTTTAGAAATCATCACACTATTTTCCATAAAGATTGAACTATTTGTACTCCCACCAATGATTTAGATGCTTCCCCTTTTCTCTGCACCCGCACCAGCACCTGTTGTTTTTTGATATATTAATGATCATAATCCTTACTGGAGTTAGGTGATATCTCAATGTGGCTTTGATTTGCATTTCTCTGATAATTAGTGGCTGAGTATTTTTTCATGTATCTGTTGGCTACTTGTATGTCTTCTTTTGAGAAATATCTATTCATGTCCTCTGCCCCCTTTTTAATAGGGCTGTTTGGTTTTTTCCTTTTGGCTCATGTGAGTTCCCTGTAGATCCTGGATGTTAGGCCTCGGTCAGATACACAATCAGCAAATATTTTTTTCCATTCTGTGGGTTGTCTCCCTACTCTGTTGATGGTTTCTCTTGCTGTGCAAAGGCTTTTCAGTTTGATGATGCCCCATTTGTCTATCTTATCTTCTATGGCATTCTTTTTGGGAATTTGATCAAGAATTGGTTGCCTAGTTCAATGTGCAAAAGAGTGTTTCCTGCATTTTCTTCTAGGATTCTTATAGTTTGAGGTTTTACATTCAGGTCATTGATCCATTTAGAGTTGATTCTTGCATATGGTGATAGGTAGGTTTCCTGTTTCATTTTTCTACATGTGGTCAGCCAGTTTTTCTCTTACACATTTAAAAAAATATAATGGCCCTTCTGACTGGTATAAGGTGGTATCTCAGTATGGTTTTAATTTGCACACAATGCTATTTTATAAGTTACCGACAGTATTCAAATTTTGACACTAACTTCAATAATTTTGTTATAGCAAAACAATACCACCACCCAAACCAACCTTTTTTTTTCTGGTTCAGAATTATTACAGGATCATGTCCTTTTTTTTTTTTTGGTCAACGAAAGAAAAGTTTATTTAAAAGTAATTTAGAGAGAGAAAGAGAAGGGAGAGAGAAGATTCACCTCCCCAAGGTGGGGGAGGGGGCCAAAGCCAGGAAGCATGGCGTGACAACTATAGCTTTAAGACCACATGGCCATGCCAGAGTCTAGCATGGCAATGGCCATTGGTTGCTTGTGGCTGAGTCCTTTTAACCATCTCCCTTGTTGGGGGAAGATTATTAAGGTGATTGGGTGGTGGTCTGCTCAATGTCATTACAAAGGGGCAGGCAAGCACAGATACTGACGTCAAGTGATGGACAGCAGGCAGATGGGTGGGTTAGTCACATGATTACTGCCATAGTGGGGTTTATTTGTGTCACTAGTTCACAAAGGGCTGATTAGGTTAACACTGGTGGGAGTTTTCCTGCAAGAGACTCGTTAGACATTTGCAATTCACAAACTCAAGACATTTGCAACTCACAAACTCTTTAACCAAAGGTGGTCATATTATTACTTTTATGACTTTGGTCAGCCAAAGGGTGATCTTTGATCCTCAGCCTTGACAAGGAACCTAAACATTTATTAGACATTATTATGCTAAACCATGAACTGAAAGGTTGGGCTGTCCTGGTCTTATATCTACTGGAGATTTGCCAAGGTGAATGGGATAGGCTGCTGCTTGTTCTGCAGTAGAATGTCTGAATGCTTTCTAGTGGTTATGCTGAGGCAAAAGACTAAACTAAGAATAAGCTAAGTTTTTTCTAGCTTTCTGTAGGTACCACCTTTCATTTCCACCTCTTGCTATTTTAAAAATATTCTTATTTGTACCTGGGAACAGGGACGAAGGTCAGGCTTCTGTAGCTACTTCCTGCTGCACATGGGGCGTAGAGCTGTCCCTACCTGTCTAGAACAAGAGAAGGGGATGAGAGGATAGGAGCCCATGGAGTTAAGTATTTTTAGTATTTGTATCCAAAGTATTGACTATAAGAATGAATATTATTATAATAAAGGCCATTATTGTTATTGCTATAACATAGCAAGTTTTTGATGTTTAGTAAAATGTATTTACAGTTACCCCAGTGGGTTGATACCAACTACAGGAGTCCAGGCAGTTCTCACTGTTGCACCAGTAAATTCCTGAGTTCATATGTTGACTTTTGTCCCCACAGCTTGTCTTTTAGCCTTTTGGGATTGTGATAAGAATTTATAGATAGTTATAAGGAGTTTTGTTAATAATGACTTAAACAAGGTAATATAGCTACTTTGACAAAGTCTGAAGAAAAATTTAAAACATTA